AAGCACGACGCTCAGGATGAGGAGGATCGTGACGATGCTGATGCTGATGACGACGATGCTGATGATGACGACGACGAGGACGATGATGATGATGATGATGATGATGATGATGATGATGATGATGTTGACGCTGCTGATGATGATGACGATGATGCTGCTGATGATGATGGTGGTGGTGATGATGAGGATTATGGTGGTGGTGTGGTGATGAGGATGACGATGTTGAGGATGATGCTGATGATGTTGAGCAGGCCGATGATGATGTTGCTGATAATGGCGATGATGATGATGATGATGATGATGATGATGATGATGATGATGATGATGATGCTGCTGATGATGATGATGATGATGATGATGATGATGATCAGGATACTGATGATGATGAGGCTGATGATGATATTGATGCTGATGCTGATGACGCTGATGAAGGTAATGATGATAATCATGATGATGCTGTTGATGATGATATTGATGATGATGATGATGATGATGATGATGATGATGATGATACTGCTCATGATGATCATGATGTTGATGCTGATAATGGTGATGATGACGATGCCGATGACGATGACGATGCTGAAGATGATGGTGATGCTGTGGGTGATCATGATGATGCTGAGGAGGCGGTTGATGATGGTGATGCTGACGATGCTGATGCTGTTGGTTGTGGTGGTAGTGTTGATGATGATGTCAGTGGTGATGGGGGATGATGATGGCGACGATGATGATGCTGATGACGATGATTCTGATTGTGACGTTGGTGGCGATGCTGATGATGCTGATGATGACGATAATGATGCTGATGGTGATGATGATGCTGATTCGTACCTTTGTTTTGCTGCTTCTGATGATGCTGATGATGATGGTGTCGGTGAGGATGAGGATGGTCGTGGTGCTGGGTTGATGATGACGATGCTGATGATGCTGCTGATGATGATGCTGATGAGGACTATGATGATGCCGATGATCGTGATGCTGATGATCATGATGATGCTGATGACGATTATGATGATGATGCTGATGGTGGTGGTGATGATGATGATTTCGGTGGTGGTGGTGGTGGTTGGATGATGATTGTGATGATGACGATGGTGGTGGTGGTGGTGGTAGGATGAAACTGATGATGACGAGGATGAGGATTAGGGTTATGATGAATTGGTGGATGAGGAGGAGGAGGAGGTTGATGAGGACGAGGATGAGGTTGAAGATGATGATGCTGGTGATGATGATGAGGATGATCAGGATGAGGATGCGGGGAATGATGAGGATGAGGATGAGGATGAGGATGAGGGTTATGATGATAATTTTGATGGTGGCGATGATGCTTATGATGATGGTGGTGGTAGTTGTGATGATGGTGGTGATGTTGGTTGTGGTGGTGGGAAGATGGTGATGATGGTGATGATGACGGCGAGGATGATGACGATTCTGCTGCTGCTGATGATGACGATTCTGCTGCTGGTGGTGGTAGTGGTGATGATGAGGATGATGCCCGTGGTAGTGCGATGATGGTGAGACTGATGGTGAACAGGAAGATGATGCTGATGCTGACCCAGATGCTGCAAAGGATGATGCTGATGATGATGATGATGATGATGTAGACGGTGGAGGCTGTGGTTGTGGTGGGATGATGATGGTTGTGCTGATGATGATGACGAAGTTTCATCATGAAGAGGATAAGGATGAGGTTGAGGATGGGGAGGGTGATGAGGTGGATGAGGACGAGGGCGATGATGAGGATGATGATGATGAGGAGAAGGATTAGAATGATGAGGGTGGACATGATGAGGATATTGAGGATGAGCGCGAGGATGAGGAGAATGATGAGGATGATGATAAAGATGAGGGGGGGGGTGAGGACCAGTGTAAACTCAAGGGTCACCAACGATGTTGGAATTAACCATCGCTCCAAGCTCCCCCTTCATAGGCCCTTACAACGGTTCAGTTCCATAGAGGGGCCTGCCCCGCTGGAAGACAACCGTTCGAAGACCTTGAAGCATGCCAAACCATTGTTCTCGGGATTTTCACTCCACGGATCAACCTGCTGCGTCCTGACGATCTGGAATCGTGCCAGAACGCCATTTTTGGGATGTCAACCCTGCGAATAACCATAGCTGTTGCTCCCGCATAATCATGAATCCCTCCAGCACACCATTTCTGGAACGTTGATCATGGGAAGCAGTGAAACTCTTGCAAATGATTGCAGCAAATGTGCGCAGCGCTAAGGCGAGCGTTACATTTTGAAAAGGAACTGCCCTCAATCCGTGAAGCTCTTGCACATTTTTAAAATGAATGTGCGCGGTGCTAAGGCAAGGCGCACATTTTGAAAACCAATCGCCCCACATCCGTGAAACTCTTGCATTTTTTTCACGGCGAATGTGCGCGGCGCAAAGGCGAGAGGCACATTTTGAAAAACACCCGCCCCCACTGCGTGAAGCTCTTGCGTCTTTTTACAATATGCGCTGCGCAACGGCGAGAGCCACATTTTGAAAAC